CAGCACAGGGACAGCCCGGTGGGGCGGTGCCTGGCGCTGTGCTCCCAGGGGTGACAAAGCTTGGTGCCAAGCGGGGGGGCAGTCAGCCAGGCCTGAGTGGACGGGCAGATCTTACCTGCCAGGGTGCAGAGGACGAGGAGGAGGCCGTGGCCACGCATGGCGGTGCCGCAAGGGCTGGGGCTCCGCTCGGCCCCCTGCGCCGATGTGTTCTGGGCCGGGCGCCCGCCGGGACAGGACAGCTGTCCCCTGCCACCGTCAGCTGTTCCCAACAGCCACGGGGGCCCGGGAGGGACCACCCACTTCCCCCGCTGGTGGGGCGATGCCGCTTTGCCGGGGAGCTCCTCTGGCGTTTTGTGCCGGAGAGGCTGGAACTGGGGCAAGGGGCAAAATGAGCTCTGTGCCTTGGGTTCCCCGTGTCTCCCCCAAAGGGATGCATCTCCTTGCAGGTTATGGCAAAGGGGTGGCCCCTGCCAGCACATCCTGTCCCTGCCATGGCAGTGGCTGCCCCCAGACTATAGGGTGGGGAAGGGGCAGGCAAGTCCCATCCCATCAGCCTGGGGAGTGATGCACCCCCCGCGGGTTCAAATCCTTCCAGCCCCTGTGTTAGGAGGGTCATGGGGAGGAGGGGATGGGGGTATGGTGAGATTCCTGGCTCAGTGGAGAGGATGTGACAGCTGTCAGAGGATGGGCCACTGCCGGTGGGGGGACGTCAGCTGCGTCCCCTGAAACCAGAGCCCTGGCATCCCACTGCTGACCTGGGGAAGGAGACACCTCTCTGGGCCCCCAGCCTTGCATTGTGGGATGGGGTGTGCTGGGGGGACACTGTGAGTCTAGCTGGGGGATCATGGGGGCAAGGGGAAAATGTGGGAACTGATGGCATCTCTGCCAACTGCAGTGGGTCTTCAGGGGATGGTGCCATGCTGGGGGGGCCAACTCTTTCCCCAGCCCATGCTGCCCCAAGTGTCCAGCCCACAGGGCTAGCAGGTCCAGTACCACCACATCCCCTCTGACAATCACCCCTTCCAGCCACAGCTGAGGTCCATCCAGCAACACCCGTTCCCTGGGTGGGCATCACTCTCCCCAGGACACACACAGTGTTCAGGGTGGGCACTGTGCCCAGTGGGGCCCACTGAGGGCAGCCGCCAGTTCAGTGTCCCATGGCAAGAAGTACTCAGCTTTATTTTCCCAAACCAAGACAGGTGGGGAGAGGCTGGCCCATGGGATCCCCACACCCCTCTAGATGAAGCGTTTGTTCTCCTCCCGGTAGTCGTAGGGGTCTCCAGAAAAGGGCAGTGGTGGTGGGTGGTTGTAGATGCCCATGAGGAAGATCCAGAGGGTGCCCACCACCAGTGTGGGGGTGATGATGAAGAAGCACAGGCGGTCCAGGGTCCGGGCCACGCGGTTCCAGTTGTCGACCTCCTGTGGAGAGAGCCAGGAGCCAGGCAGTGTGGGGGCACAGTGGGCACAGGGAGCCCCCCTGCCCCCCCAGTGCCCATGGTCCCACCTCATTGTAGCTGTTTTCTTCCCTCATGTGCTTGACGATGTAGTTGGCATTGTCAATGACAGGTTTGATGTGCTCATAGGGCTTCTCCTCGCCTGAGTCCATGCCCAGCGGCACCAAACCTGGGGATGAGAGGGGGTGGTGAGATGGGCTTCGAAGAGCTGCCAGCCCTGCAGACCCCATCCCTGCACCCTTCCGTCTGTCCCTGTGCAGGGGCTGTGGCTCACGGGCAGGGGTGATGCGGCTGGTCAGCCCGTGCCGCTCTGACTGCTTCTCGAACATGAGCTCGCTGCGGGACTTGACGCTGAAGTATTCCTCCGCCTTGGCGATGTAGCCGGCCGAGCTGCAGCGCCGGATGCACGGGGCACCCGCCGGGCTCTCGGACGGCTGTGTCATGCCCAGCAGCCGGGGCAGGCTCTCCAGGAAGACCTGGGACACAATAGGGAGTGTCGTGTCGCTTGGCCACCTCCCCAGTGTGTTGCCACCTTGTCCCCACTTTCTGCCCACAGAATCCATCCGGCACAGATGCAGTGCCAGGGCTGTGCTGCCCCATGTCCTCTGTGGGGTACAGCGTGACCCTTGTACCCACCAGTGCACCCACCCCAGCCCACACCCCGCTCACCTCTCTGACCCAGTCAGACATGATGTGGGTGCTGGGGGTGCGGAAGTGGAAGTTGAGCACCACGACGGAGATGATCACCACGGCTGTCACCAGAAGCATGATAAAAAGCAGATACCTGGTAGGGAGCATGGTCTTGGAGCCAGCATTGCCACAAGGACTGGGCACAGGCAGAGCTGCCCTCTGGCACCAAGGGACCCCACAATGTCCCCGCTGCACTCAATGGTGCCCAGAACTCACTTTCCGATGAGGGGGATGGCATGGGAAGTGGCAGGCAGGCGCTGGGAGATCAGCAGGAGGAAGACAGACTGGGCCAGGAGCACTGAGATTACCAGGGTCATCTTCTCACCACCTGAAGAACAGGTGAGCTCAGGGAAAAAATTGCCCCACGTACCTCTAGCAGAACCCCCAGTACAGGGTTTGCTCTTCCAGTGTCCCATGATACAGTGCCCCATATAGGGGTTTTCTGTTGTGGGAATACCCTGGGGTCCCATGTGGGATATCCTATGCCCAAATGCACCTCTGCCAGGGTACCTGGCTGGGGTGATGGTGTTCTGCATGGGGATATTCCAGTTCCAGGATGTCCTCATGCTGGGCATTAGGGTGTTGCTGTGCCCCAGGACCTGGTGCAGCTGTGGGACACGGAGGTGCCCCATGGATGTGACTCCCATTACTAGCACACATGCCACAGGGTTCACTCACTGTCAGCGGGCAGGTAGAAGACAAGGATGACCATGAAGGCGATGAGGATGCAGGGTATGACGATGTTGATGACATAGAAGAGCGGTTTGCGCTTGATGATGAGGTAGAAGGTGATGTCCTGGTGCTCACTGGTGTCCAGGGGAATGTCAGGGTAGATGTTTTTACGGGCTGGGCGGTGGATGATTTCCCATTCCCCATTCTCTGCCAGGGCACAGGGGACAGCATACAGCATGGGAGACACCTGCCATGACCATCCTCACCAGGTTCACTAGCACCAGCCTCCCCCACCAACCAGGGTGTGGATCACATTCCAAGGTGGAGTGAGTGCCAGGATGCCAAAGCCCCCAGTAGTGAACTTTCTCTATGGCAGTGCACCCCAGCTCCAAAGCGTCCCCTCACCACTGTCCCCCTCTTTACAGGGTGTCCCATTGCCACAGGACATGGCAGAGAGCACCAGCATTACCTGTGAAGCCTTCAGGGTCAATGATGATCCACTCCACTGGGTAAGACTTCCCTGTGTCTGGGTCACTGTCTGTCTTCAAGTGCATGTTGATCTCCAGGGCACTGTATGCCAGCGACCTGGACCACAGCCGGGGGGACAGACAGTGAGGGGCTGCTGGATACCCCCCACCCAACCCCCCCTGACCTCCAGCATGATGGACTTAGGCCACCAAGTCATCTACAGACCCCCACCTCGCTGCACCTCAACAGCAAGGGGAGGTGCTGGCAGCAGCAGGCACCCAGGCATGACATGGCCACCCTGACCCAGCCAGCCAGCACCTGAATCTGAGGGAGCAGTTCTGCCAGTCGAAGGGGAAGAAATCAACGTTGATGAGGCAGGTGCTGCGGAAGATGGCAGGTGGCAGCCAGTAGACATAGCCCGTGTCGTAGATGAGGACGTTGCAGTAGTAGGCAACCTCGAAGAGCCCATCATTGCTGTGCCAAGAGGGAGACAAGGTTATGGCACTGTTGGGAAGGGGCCAGGAGAGTCCTGGACATGCACTGGGAACAGTGCAGAAGGATTGGGAGGGGAAATTAGGGCACAGCTCACTTGTTCTCCAGGACTATCTCTGGCAGCCACAGCATGTCTGGTGGCAGGCGGAGCACCTCAACGCCCCCAAACTCAGATTTGTTCCACTGCAGGCGGTAATCAGTCCAGCCCTGGAGGGGAGAATCCACAGCTCACCCCCTCACCATGCTGGGCCACCCTATCGTGGCACAACTGATGCTGTGACACCTGTCCCTACTCACGTGCTCGAGCCATACGTTGGTGGTGAGTGTCTCGTCCACCTCTTTCTGCAAACAGAAACACGGGGCAGTGAGATGCCAGGGTGTCCCCCCAGCCCAGGACCCCAAACCCTCAGCATCCAGGGTTGGGAGAGCAGCCTCAGGGTTTGCTCCCATGCACCCTCCCTCACATGGGGGGGAGGCATGGCTGGGGGGCACCCCACAGTGGACCCTCCCCACTGGGGCTCACCAGTGAGATTAGGTTGGAGAGGGTGAGGGCCAGGTAGACATCTACAACCTCGTCAGTGGAGACCACAGGGCGCAACTCTTTGTCATAGCCCTTCTCTTCGAACAGGTGGTGGATGAGCCTCTCCTCGTGGTTCACACAGAGTCCACCTGGGGGTTTGGGGTCAGGCAAACCAGGGGGCTCAGAGGTTACTGGGCCCAGTGCCACCCCCCTAAGGATGCTTGGCAAGGGCAGGGTGGTATAAGAATAGAGGGGAGAGGAACAGGCCAGGACACTGCATGTCTGTGCTGCACAGGGGACCAGACATGGACATGCAGGAATGACAGACGTGTGGGAGCACATGGTCACACATGGTCACGGGACAAGGACGTGGGCACAGACACAGAGCAACACACAGATAGAAACCCAGCACAGAGAGGGACACAGACACGAGACATCTGGATACAGACATGGTGGAGCTGTGCACACAGGTGGCTTTACATATAGAACACACATGGACCAGTGCGTGCAGGGACACATGGTCATAGAATGGGGACAGACAGGCACTTACAGGGACACATGGATACAATGATACTGTGCACTGGCAGCACATAGCCTGGGTAGGGACATGGCTCTGGGTGGCACAGCCACGAAAGAAGCACAAAGGACACGCAGTGAGCAGACTCTGCCAGGTAAAACCCAAAATGCAGCCCTGGGGACCCTAGTGCCCAGTTTGGACCCTCCCACCATCATCCCCCACCAGCCCCACCGAGGGGACCCATAACCCATTGGCACCCCATGCAGCAGAGCAACAGGGCACCCCATGACCCAGACCCTGCTCACCCAAAAGCATCAGTGCCCCGAGCAGGGCCAGCAGCAGATTCCCCATGTGGTGCCCACGGTGCCCTCACGCCGTGCCAGGCCCTGGCTTCTTCCCTGCCTGGCCTGGCTGAGCGGATGTCCGGCTGCCGGAGGGAGTGGGAGATGGATGGTGCCAGGTGCTGAGGGGGAAGGGTACCGGCACCAGAGAGCCGCTCCAACCCCTCTCTTCCGGCACTGCCACGTGCAGGAAAGGCAAGATGGGCAGGCACAGCTGGTCTTGCCAGCCCCACAGGTGTCAGCCCATCACCCTGAATCTAGGCACCCCAGCACAGGCACTGCTGGGCACAGGGAGCAGCAGTCCCTTTCCTGCTGCTCAGCAGTCCTGGGATGCTGCTCAGAGAGGCAGGGTCACCACAGCAGGGTCCCCAGGGTACCCACTGATGCCCAAGCACAGGGCTGGCACCCACCACTGATCATAGACCCTGTGCACACACAGCCCCTGCATCGGGAGGTCTCATGTGGGGTGCTGAGGGTGTCACTGGGGTGAGCACCAGTGCTGTGCTGTGGGTGCTGCATGGGCAGGAGGGGTGTCTGACCCCTAGGGAGGGGGCTGGGGAGTCTGTGCCAAGGTGGACACAGCAGGAACCAAGGCTGGAGGCATCACTTCAGAGTACAGGGGGATGGGAAGGGGGATGCAATGGGATGTCATAGCTCCCCTGGAAAGTGCCTCCATTGTCACCCACTTCACCAGCACTGGGTGACATAGCACTCACTTCACATTCACCAGCTACTGGAAAATAGAACCCTTCTTTATTGAAAAATAAACCTTCTCTGTACAAATAAATAACAGCTCAGGTGCCTCTGGGGAAGATGGGGTGGGAGTGGTCTTGCCAAGGTGGGGGTCCCAGGGGAGAGGAGGACTGTGATTCCTGGCTGAGGTACTTCAGGTACTCACCAGGGCTGTATCACCCTGGGGAAGGAAGTGCTGGTGGGAAGAGAGACTGAGGTACAATTGGAGATAAAAGGGTGGAAGAGCCTGAGATGGGGAGTGGAGTGTGTTTGAAGGACAAAAGAGACACCTGCCCTGGTGTCCTCTCCCCATGCTGGCACACTGCTCCAGGGGCACCATTAGGTTTTCAGCACTTCTAGTGCCAGAGCAACAAGGCCAGGCATGCTACGGGCCAGTGAATCATTCTCCAGCCCCACGAGACCAGTGAAGGCTGTGGGGCGCCCCCCTACAGTGGCCCGAACCTGTGCCCGGTACAGTCCCTGGGTGTTTTTGGAGCCCAAGTCCACCAGGATCTGTGGGGAGACAACAGTACCGTGAGTCCCAGGGGAGCCAAGGGTAGAGCAGGACAGTGTCAGGCTGGGGGATGGCATTGCCTGGCTGCCAGGATGCATGGCTCAGAGTGGCTGGATGGGGCACTCACCTCTTGGAAGGTCATGGCCAGGTCTGCCTCGGGCACCCGCAGCACCCAGGCATACAGGTCCCGCACAGCGCCCACCCGCACTGCCGACTCGTTGAGGCCAGGACAGGCTGCAGCCCCTGGGACGGGCAGGAGAGACATGGAGGGGACATCAGAGATCAATCGTGGGGGCACCGTGCTGCTCCCCACACAGGGAGGAGCACCCTTGCTCTGGGGACGCCAGAGGGGCATGGGCAGAGGGCAGGGAATACAGCAAAAGACTGTTCCACTGAAACAGGACAGCCCTGAGACAGGGGTGTAAGGCTGGGCTTGTCACTCTCCCCATGGGGATACCTAGCACCCCATAGGGTCTGTGGGAGCTTACCTCTGCCCACACCTGCCTCCTCCTCCTCTTCCTCCTCCACCCTGGGCAGCTCCATGGGCACCAGTTCACGTTTCTCCCTCAGTGCAGACCCTGCCACCGAGAGAGGTGTAAAACCCCAGTGGGCACTGCCCAGACACAGAGCTGGCCTGTGGATGGACACCCTGCTGCCCCATTTCCCCCAGTCCCTCCAGGCTCACGGGGTTCATGGCTTGGCACGGGGGTCCCTGCCAGCTCTCCAGATGCCCGTTGTGGCTCCATGGCTTTCGGGGTGGTGCCAAGGTCCAACTCTGCCCGCAGCTGGGTGAGGAAGGCTCGTCCCTGTGCCACCATCTCCTCCACCACATCCTCACTCTGACAAAGGGAAGAGAGGGACAGGATGGGTGATGGGGCACCCACAAGGCACCCATGGGCACAGCCACGTGCATGGTGGCAGAGTGCAGAGCATGGGTGTGCTGGTGTCACACAGGGCATTGGTGACATGCAACTGCTTTGTGGCTGTGTCGGGTCAGATCCTGAGCTGCAGGGTCAGACCCATGGCTGGCTCCGCACTGGCTGGATTTGGGAGCACTGGTTTCAGCTGGGGATGGTGAGATGCCCCTTCTGTGGTGGCAAAGTGAGAGATGCCACTTCTGTGGCTGCACAGAAGATAATGGACCAAGGGATATCAGGAGGGGACATGGGGACTGAAGGTGTTTGGTCCCTTGTGGCCCAGTCACGGGAGGACAGGGGTCCCCCAGCCTGTCCCTCCCCACATACCTGCAGGAAGAGCTGCATCTCCCCTGGGAGCTGCTCCCTGTCCTGTGTTGTCACCAGATGGCTGCCCCCTGCCATGGTCCTCAGAGCCTCCACCCAGTCCTGCAACTGGGGTCCCACTACCCCAAAAAGCTCTGCAAAGGGAGGCATCCGCCTGTCCCCCCACCTGGAAGCACAATGGGGTGAGCTCAGACTGGGTGGGCAGTGCCCACCTTCTTCACCCCACCTGGGCACCCTGGGGGGATGCTCTGGTTGCAGCAGGAACAGGATCCAAATGCTTCAGGCTGTCCCCAAAATGGCAAGTCAGTTCCCACCAGTATCTCAACCACCTCCCCAGCCTCTTTAGCCCTTCACCCTGTGGCCCACCACACCTCACCTGCTGGGGGGTCTCTGGGGTCCCATTGCTGTGGGGCTGGATTGGCCCCGTGCCACAGCCAAGCCTGCAGGGACAAGAAAAGGACAGGACAAGAGATAGAGGAGCCCTATTGGGAAGCCATGGCAAGGGGCTGGTGCTCCATCCACCAGCATAGGGGAGACTGAGGGGACCCCAAATGGACATGGGCTGGTCCAGCCTGGGAGAGTACCTGGGGCATCCCTACGGACACGGGGAGGGAAGAAGTGCCCGTAGATCTTGCCCAGGAGCTGAGGCAGAGTGCGGGTGAGAAAGGAGAAATCAAACTGGTTTCGGATGAAGTCCCCAGCCCGGCGCAGGAGATCCACCAAGGTCTGGGCATAGGAGTGCAGCTCTGTGGGTGCAGAGGTAGAGATGTGGCCCCGGTCCCATGTCAGAAATGGGGTCCCTCCCTGCACCCTAGCCCTGGCATGACCCCCAGCTCACCGCATCGTCTCGTTCTGGCACGGCAGGTCTCCTCGGCCAGGCGGGCACAGGTGGCCCGGCCCTGAGGCGCCCGACAGGACCCGGCGTAGAAGGCGCAGAGACGGGCGCGCTCTGGGGACTGCTGCTCGGGGGGCAGCTGTGCCAAGGCTAGCAGGTCGAAGCAGCTCGGTTCTCGGCTGCCAGGGGCAGCTGTGAGAGAATCGGCGCTGCCATGAGTGCTGAAAACCCCCTGGGCATCTCCATGACCCCGCGGTGCAGCCAGCAGCACTCACAGTCCATCTGGAGACTCAGCCAGTCCGTGAAGGCAGTGACACGGGTGTAGACTCCTGGTTTGCCCTGCTCACCGCAGCCATCACCCCACGAGGTGATACCGTAGAGGACAAAGTGGTGCGAAGTGGGGTCCTCGCACGCCAGCGGGCCCCCTGAGTCGCCCTGCAGGGGAAAAGCCTGTGCATTGGACTGGGCTGGGACTCCAGCCGTACTCACGGCCTGCGGTACGAGCCCGGCACTGTGCGAGGGATTTTTGAAGTGGGGTGCTGACAGTCCCTCAGGCACGGTGGTACCTGGCAGGAGTCGATGCCTCCAGACAAATACCCGGCACAGAACATGGCACTGGTGAGAAGGTCCTTGCCCAGGGCACCCCGGCACGTCTCCTGGCTGAGCAGGGGCACCTGCGCCTCCATCACCACGTCGGCTGCTGGTCCCTCTGCCAGGCAAGGCACCTGTCACAGGGTCTCCTGTGCCCGGCCATCTCCCTCTGTTTCACACCCCTTGCTCTGCCTCGGTGCGCTGGGGCTGGACACCCCAGAGGGCACAGAGAGGCACACCCCACGGTGTCCCTTACCTTCGTAGAGGGAACCCCAGCCCGCGATGTAGCAGGGGGTGCCGGGGCTGGGCTCCGCGGGGCCGCTGGGAAGGCACACGGGGCTGACCGTGGATGATGGGGCCAGCGGCACTGCCAGCTCCAGCAGCGCCAAGTCCCCGTGAAACGTCTTTGGATTAAACTGGAAGGAGACGCGGGGATGTCAGTGGGGGCCCCTGGGCGTGCACAAGGAGGTGTGGGTGCTGCCCACCCCCACCGACCTTAGGGTGAGGCAGGATGCGCCGGACGGGCACTGCCCGCTTGCCCGCTCCCGGCTTGCCCAGCTCGTAG